TTGCAATCTTGAGTTTTAAGTAATATGCAGTGATAAACAGTATTTTACGCATAAAAAGTGGTTTTAAGAGTTTTTATCAAATACTTTATAATATAGTATAGATGTTATAATTTAATTTAAGTTTAATAATAAAATAATTTATTTTTGGATTAATAATATAAATTTTATAAAAATAATAATTAAGTATTCTATTAGAACTCAATGATTGTCTTAATTATATTTTAGATTTTTTATATTTAAAATAAGATGTTTATCCTGTATTTGATTATGTTTATCTGCAGTTAGTTACACGAATTCAGATATGGAGCTTTAATAAGTTGTACTTACGCACAATCTACTTACAATCTTGAGTTTTAAGTAATATGCAATGATAAACAGTACTTTACGCATAAAAAGTGGTTTTTAAGAGTTTTTTTTTATCAAATGCTTTATAATATAGTATAGATATCATCTAAAATTTATTCATGAGAAATTCAACGTCTTAGTAACATAATTAATGTATCTACAAAATTCTAATATATAAAATCAATTATAATTAGAGTTGAATGAATCTAACTTTTTATTGAATTTTAACTTTTGCTTTTACCATTTTAGAAGAAAAATATAAACACTTCGTTTTTTAATAGATTTTTAGCTTTTTGTATTTTCATTTTATAGATTTATTTTTTTAAATGCTCTCACACAAGTATTTTGTTCACGTTAACATTGGTTTATAGCGGGGCAAACTCAAACTCTAGTAAAATATGTTAATTTTAAGTCAAATTTTATTACTAACAACTTAATTCAATAATATTTATTTATTTGATATAAAAACTTCAAGCAAATTCCGGTAATCACATCATGAGTTGTATATATATGTGTTCAAAGTAGCTGCAAATGCTTACACTAAGCAAACACATGCAATTAAAGAGATTGAATTGTTCAAAGTTGTTTCTCTCTTTTTTCTTTTTCTTTGTCTTCCTCTCTTTCGCTTCATCCTTTTCCTCTTTCTCTAATACCACTCATAAATGCTCTCTTAAACAAACCCATGCTTTGCTTCTCTTTAAGCAAAACCTATTTTCCGTCAATGACACATCTTTTGATTACAGATGTCAACCTTGGCTTGGCTCTAGTTATCATCCAATTATGATGACCTGGAAAAAAAGCATTGATTGTTGTACGTGGAATGGAGTCACTTGTAGCCAATACACGGGTGATGTGATCGCTCTATCGCTCTTGACCTTTCCTGTGCCATGCTACAAGGTACCATCCACCCTCTTCACCCTTCCTCACCTCCAATCACTCAGCCTTGCCTTCAATTATCTTTACGATTCCCAACTTCCACATGAAATTGGCATGCTTTCCAATAGTCTTAGCCATCTCAACATCTCTGATTGTGGATTAACAGGTCAAATTCCTTCAGAAATCTCACTTCTTCCTAAATTGGTTTCTTTGGATCTCTCTTGGAATTTTGATTTGAAGCTTCAACCTCATGTTTTCTACAATCTCCTTCACAACTCTACTTCCTTGGACGAGCTTTTGCTTGACTATGTTAATATCTCTTCAATATTACCCACTTATCTTGATATCTCTTCTTCTATGAAAGCACTCCATCTTAGGTACACCACTTTGCAAGGAAAATTACCTGATAACATCTTCAATCTTCCGTATTTGGAACAACTTGACTTGAGAAATAACATTAATATTACCGGTCAACTTCCTAAAATTTACACAAACATTAACATCCCTCTCAAGTGGTTAGATCTCTCATACACCAACTTATCAGGACAGATACCCGACTCAATCGCCTATCTCAAGTCTTTGACTTACTTGGATCTCTTAAGCATCAACTTATCAGGACAGATATCTGACTCAATCGACCATCTCAAGTCTTTGAATACTTTAGTACTCATTGATTGTAATTTGATGGGTCCTCTTCCCAAATCCCTACTTAATCTTAGGCACCTTACTACTCTATATTTATCATATAACAAGCTTATTGGAACGTTGCCTTCTTGGTTGTTTACTCTTCCCTCACTAGAAACTATATATCTCTACAACAACATGTTCAATGGGGGCTTACCACCAGAATTGTTCAACCATCAATCATTAAAGCAATTATCCCTTGGTGCAAATCAATTTGATGGCATGATAGATGTGTTTGATCAAGGATCCATTCAGCAAACATTTCATCAACTCCTGAACCTCACTTATCTTTGACCTCTCAAATAATAAATTTAGAGGTGTGTGGGAGTTGGATACTTTATTATCAAGCCTCTGAACCCTTGAATATCTCTATCCTCATATAGTGGTTTATTTGTTGTGACCAATAATGCCAGTCGCTATGTCAATCCTAATTTTCAAGCCTTCGAGTTAGCATCTTGCAAGATAAAGGTGTTCCCAGAGTCCTTACGAGCCATGAGAAAACTTCAAATTTTAGATCTATCGGGAAATGAAATCGATGGCCATAGTAGGGAGATAAGAGGAATTGAACTGTCTTACTTGGATCTCTCCCGTAACATCATAACAAGGCCATTCCCTCCATCAATTTGGAACATGGACAATCTACAATATTTGAATATGTCCAACAATCGCTTTAGTGGAGTGATTAAACCTGGAGATATGAACTTCTCTCCTTCAGTTATAGATATGGGGAACAATAGTTTTAGTGGCACCATTTCACACGTATGTGGTGAAAATTTAATTAGGCTTTTATTCTGAATGGAAATCAATTTGAAGGTAAGGTGCCAAATTGCTTTTCCAAATGCCTAGAATTGGAAGTGCTTGATCTGGGAAACAACCGCTTAACTGGTGCATTCCCTGACCACTTAGGACGTCTTCCAAATCTAAAGGTTCTTGTCTTCAGATCAAACAAGTTTCATGGTCCCATAGAAAGAAGCTCTTCTATGATCGCACACCCATTTCCTAGTTTGAGAGTTCTTGACTTATCTCAAAATGAGTTTGGAGGCCATCTCCCTGGAAAATATTTTCAAAATTTTGATGCTATGAAGAATGTGATCAAGGATGGCAAGAATGGGTATTTGAATCTTTACTACTATAACATCTTTTACTATATCGTTATTGTGGTGAAAGGTCAGCAACTCTCATTTGAGAAAATTTCAAAGGACTACACGATTGTTGATCTATCCGGTAACAAATTTGAAGGAGAGATTCCAAACGAAAGATGCACTCTTAACTCGTTGATAGTGCTCAACTTATCCAACAACCACCTCAATGGTCAGATCCCACAGACTATAGGTAACCTCTCTGAGATTGAATCATTAGACCTATCTCGAAACCAACTATCAGGAAAGATTCCTCAAAGTCTTGCAGACATCACGAGTCTTGAAGTCTTAAATCTCTCGCAGAACCTTCTGGTGGGACGTATTCCTGGTGGAACACAGTTGAGTACATTCGGCACTTCATTCGAAGGGAATCCGGGACTATGTGGGTTTCCGCTGCCCAAGGAGTGTAAACATGCGAGTGCCCCACAACTTGAAGTTGATGGAGAAGATGAGAGTGTATTTACATGGAAAGTGGTGATGTTGGGATATGGATGTGGAACCCTAGTTGGATTATTGTTGGGATATTTCATGTTGTCAACAGGGAAGCCAAAGTGGTTGAATGCAATTGTTGATAAAATAGAGCAAATGATCCAGAGAAGGCAAAACAAGAGAAGATAAATCATAAATATTGGAAAATGAGATTAGGTACGTGTTTCCCATCCATGCTTTCTTTTCTATAAATGTCAACAAAATTAATGCTTGTTATTTTTCTTTTCTAAAATTTAATGATGCAGGTTGGGATGGAGCTATGTTGAATTATCTTATATATACATGTTTGGAATCATGTTGTTATTAAAGCTTAGAAATAATTTAATCAGTTAGTTTATTCTTTTGTGTCGTACGTTGGTCATAAACTCATTTGTATAGCATTAATATGTAATCTTGAAGACATATAATATTTGTATCAAATATATAATTTTAGTTGCATTGACAACCTGCGGTTGTTACTTTTGAGTTGTATTAGTTATTGAATGGTTAGAAATGGCCTAAACATTATTGTGATTTATAAATTTAGAAAAACCCAACCAATTATTTGAACTATTTTTTTAAATAAAATAATCATTAATGTTTCTTATTTTTAATGATCAAGTCTCTAACTATTTTTTTAATAATAAAATTATTAAACTTTCTCATTTTAAATGAATAAATCCCTGAACATTTTCTTTCAACAAAATAAACCATCAAAATATTAGAATTTGCCAATTTGGTTACCTACATCATTTTAACCCAAGAAAAGCTAAATATAACTGACCAGAAAGATTTTAAAGTAAAATGAAACCTAAATTAGTTTTACCGTTCTCAAACCCTGTGTCATTCAAACCCCACTCAAACGTCGGTATCACTCTCCCTCGCCATTCCTCGTCGCCCCATCGTTGTCTGTTCTCCATATCTCTATCACACTTTTGGCCCATACTATCAATTCCCTCTTTTTGATTTGTTTTTATCTATCATCAATGGCAGGGGCAACAACGTGATAGGCGATATGTAGAATAGACAAGGATGGGGCGATGAGGAGTGACGACGGGGAGTGATACAGTGTTTGGGGTTTGAATGTCGTAAGGTATGAGAATGGTAAAATTGTTTTGGGTTAAACTGATGTAAGTAACCAATTTTTAAAAATTCGATGGTTTATTTTATTAAAAAAATGTTCAGAGACTTAATCATTCAAAATAAAAAAATTAATGTTTTTCATTCAAAAAAAAAAATAGTTCAGAGACTTAATCTTACAAAATAAAAAAGTTTAATGATTTTTTTCATTCAAAAAATAGTTTAAACACTTAATCATTTAAAATGAAAAATTTTCTTGTATTTTTTTTGAACTTTTTCATTTAATAAAACATTTTGTTGCAACAACCTAAATACGTTGATCAAACCACGAAATAATTTTATGGGTACTCTTTTGAAAATATTTACATTTCTATAGAAATTCAAATCAAACATAAAACAATATTTTGATAGAAATTCAAATGAAATGTGAAACAATATCATATGTATTATAATCTGTAGCTAGTTGTGTGATTGTGCGATGCAAAGGGATACAAAAATAAACTATAAATGAAAACAAAAAATATATTTAATGTTTCCTCATTGAAAAAAAATCTCCGTCACCATCTATTTTCTCCAAAATAGAAAAATTAGGAGAAAGTGTGAAAAATTTATCCAAATTTAGAGGGCCCCTCAAAAATGATTATTTTGATAGAGATGTTTTTAATATATCCTCATCAATATAAAACTTTGAGATTAAAATTTTGGAAAGAGAAATAATAGTTTATTAGATAAATGAAATATTTTAATAATATAATTAATGTTGTAATCTTTAAAATAGATAATATGTTGTAGTTGAATGTATTTTTGTTTTAGAGATTTTAAAATTTTATTCTCCATTTTGGATTTAGAAGCCTTACCATATGCATAAGTGTAACGTCACGCTTGAGCAAACCCCAAATTACCAATTCATATAAAATCTCCAATATAATATAATTTATTGATTATTGGGACCAATATTGATCCTAAATTATTCTAAAAGTTTTGTCAAAGCCATTTGAACCAAGGATGGAAAATCTGAAAATGCTGCTAAAAAGACTAAGTCTGGAAGAAGACCAGAGGCAATGGTTGGACTAGAGGAAATAGTCCAGAGGCTGCTGAAATGGCTAAGTCTGGAAGAAGACCAGAGGCCATGAAGGACGAGAGGTGAGAATATGAAAGACCAAAGGCAATGGTTGGACCAGAGCCAATGAAGGACGAGAGGCCATGAAGGACCAGAGGCCATGAAGGACCAGAGGCCATGAAGAACCAGAGCCATGAAGAACCAGAGCCATGAAGGACCAGAGGCCATGAAGGACCAGACGTAATGGTTCAGAGACCATTCAATGGTCCAGAGACTAACACCTTTAAACACACAAATCTAGGCATAACATTAATTAACCTCAAAATATGGGATATTAATTTCTAGAAAAATATCGATATATCCGTTCTATTTTTGTGATAAAACCACCCAAAACACGATTCCAAATCGAATATAACGGATTTTTACTTACAACCCAAATTATGTAACGAAAAAAATTCGGGACAAGACTATATATATAAGCTACTATTTACCCAAAAGCAAGATCGATATTTTCAAGTTCCCCGATAAATCTTCAAGTCAGACAACGGGTTCTTTCTATTTATCCGTCTTCTTTCCTGAGAAAGGTTGCCACTTAAATGGTAAGCCAATGCTTAGTGAGTTAAATAGTTAAGTATTACATATCAATATCACACATGTTTATAAACATATATAATAAACTCTTATCAATAAAAGAGTTCAAGACATCATCCAGATATAAACCGAAACTTACAAGAAACCGAGTGAACCATTACGTACCGGATGCCAAGATCATAGGATTCCATATYCAAATCACCATATTATACCATACCATTGTTGCTCAATACAACAAGGAGACAGGATCAACGACCAAATATATTCAACAACGTTAGAATACCAATAAATAT